TGGTACCCGAGCTAACCATTAGTATATACTAGGCATTATATTCGATCCAACCATGGGGATATCTTGTACCATGCATGGTACCCGAGCGAACCCAACTATTATAGACAATCATGCAAAATCACATATCATATTGAAAAAGACCACTGTAAAACTATAAATCACAATCATGTAATTGCTTGAGAAATTACCTTTTCTATGAAATGACACTTTTTCCCTTCCCCTCGGTGTTATCATGCTTAGTATGTGTTGTGGGAATGGTGATTGATGTCACTGATGCGATCGGATGAGATTTTGATGGATATTAGCCTTTTTGTTGAGTTTTATTAAAATGGTTGATTTTGGTCAGCATTATGAGATCCGAGCGTTGGATGGTGGTTCTTTCATTTTTGTTTCATTGAGAATGTCAAGTTTTGTCTAGTAAGGTGGTTGGTCAGAGCTTTGAGGCATTAAGTTATTATGTGGGTATTTAGGTGAGAAGTTGACCTTTATCCTAAAGAGAAGTCTGAGAGGGTATTTATCACTCATTGATCCCTAAGGTTTCTCAATTCTCCAAAGTTTAGTTTCTCCAAATTTGATTAGGTTTCTATTCAATTCTTCGTGGGTTCTAATTGTGTTGATCCAATTATTTGATTTTGATATTATTATAATTGTTTTGATTTTATAGATAATGAATGAGGCTTTTAACTTAGAAAATACACCTTCTTTTTCTTACTATAAAAGTGGGAACTCCAAATTAAAAGGTTATATATATGTTTCCTTAATCTATGTGTATCTTTGTTTTATTCAATTGTGGGAAATACAAAGTTGGTTGTCATTGTTAGCTATATCTTCCAAATAAGTACATGACCATGTAGAAGAAAGATCACTTAAATTTGTCATCAATCATTTGTAATAGTAGTATTGCTTTTTTTTATATAGTTCTGGTCTTTGCTTTCTTGGCTAGGAAACTTGATTCCCTACGTCAACAAGATGATACTGGAAATTAAGAGGAATTTGATAGGAATATAACCAGAGCAATAAACAAATAGGCTCTTGAAGTAGTTGTTACCATAGACAGTACTCAAAATATAGCACCACATGATCAAGATGCCACAATACCTGTCAAACTCACCTGCTTTGTTGTAGGAGGGAGATGAGAAGAAAATGTTTACAGGCATATATATTTTCATTCATTACTCATCTTGTTAAGTTCAAAGATAAACATTTTTATTGATGGTGTATCATCGCAAAATCATCAGAAGTTTTCTGTCATCTTGTTCCACAAGTTCTCTTCAATGTTTTCCATTTCAGATTCAAAAAGGCGGGGCGAAGAGAAAGAAACTCTTCTTATCAACTATGTGTTAGTGCTTACTCTCTTTGCTGATGATTATCGTAGTGATCCATCTGACATAGCCAATCATTTGAAAATTAATGTTGTAGCATTGTGGCCTTTCTATGAGTACTTATGTTGCAAGCTTGTTCATGAGAAAATGTTGTGTTGGCTACACTTCTTGTTCCACTTGTATTTACAAGTGTAAGGAGGAAGAGAAGGAGGTAGATTCAGTTTTTACAGTAACCTCAGACATTGAGAGCCCAAGAAATACCAACATTCTCAGATCATCCCTGTTGTCAATTTTCTCATATTTGTTTTTAATAACTATTTAGTGAAAGTTGAAACTTGAATTTCTGATATGACGAACGGTAATGCATGGTCTATATAGCACATCTGATCTGCAGTTTCTCCCGTTAAGTTATGTTAATATGCTTTAACCTATTTTCTTAATAATGGTCTTCAATTTCTTTTTTAAGATCTAAGGGATTTGGGTTTTATTTTCAGCCTTTTCCCTTTTTGATTTACAATAATTTGGTATTTTATAGCCAAACTGTATTAAACTAATTACTATTCTCTTTCTATCTCTCTCCAAATAGTCTCATTTGAGGGATAAAAAAGAATATGAATATTGTCTCTTATTCCCTTTCTCTCTCTCCAACTTTCATTACGTATTTATTTAAAGTTGAAACTTGAATTTATGATATGAAAACTTGTAATGTGTGGTCTATATATCACATTTGACTTGCAGTTTCTCATGTTAAGATAGTCAACACAAAAAATGAAACCTAGATAACACAAAATTATGAAAATGAAATTTGGAAAAATAAGAAAAGAGAGAATATATAATGTAGATGGAGGTGGAGAAGAAGAGGCAATTAAGTAATTGAAGTTTTGTGAATGATGTTTCTTTCTTTAGATTTTTTTTATCTTATATGAGAAGGAGAAGTGGAGATGGTTTCAAAGAGAGGATTAAGTGAATCCAAATTTATATGTGGCTACATATGGTTAAGTTAAATCTATAAAGTAGTTTTCGGGTACATGCATCTCATTCTATTTTTCTTAGATTTGTTAGAATGATTAAATTCTATGAAAATATGTGTTACATGTTCATGGTGGTCTTATATGCTAACTGTGATGATAATGATTGTGGTGGTCTTACATGTTTGGGGTAGTCTTACATAGTTGAGACATTTGATCCAAATCGACACATTTCTCTATATGTTATTCTTTCATTTATAAACAAGGAAAAAAGAGAAATAACTTGTGACTCTTTTCTTCCTACTTTATATCTTCTTTCTATTTTCTACACATTTACTTATTTTATCATAAATTTTGGATAGTTTTTTTTTAAGCGTGCAGAGAAAGGTAAGGACTTCTCTAGATGATTGGATAACACAATATGTACAATTTTACTGACAAATATTAATTAACAGCTAAATGATGAATAAACAAAAATAAGACATTCAAATTAAACACAGAAGAAATAGAAAACAAAAACACAAACTGACTTTGCAAACTTAATCCTAAGAGGAATTATATGCAAAAGGGATCCTCATTTTTGTGACCGAGTATGTGGCTCGTTTTTGTGAGCATTCTAGACATGCTATGACTATTGTTCCTGATGAGGTAGAAAGAGTTCACAAGTTTGTGAGAGGGTTTGCTTTCTCCACCAAGTCATATGTGTTCCAGAAGCTAGAAAGGGGGCTTCCTTCCAGCCCATTGTGAGCACCGCAAAGGAGGTGGAGTTGATGCTTGAAGAAAAATTTGGAGAGCCTAAGAGGGCTAATTATTCTAGTATGTTTTCTGGTGTCTCATTCGGAGGCAAGGGTTTACACCGAAGTAGTGCCTCCTTTCACTGTCGTGGGCCAGTTTATGCATTTTTGCAAGCAGCTGAAACTTGAGAGTGAGTGGTCAGCCTGAGGATCTTATTGTTCTGGCCGAGGTGGCCATGGTATATTATATGGTTCACAGTAGCAATTATCCATATCGAGGTCTTGCTATGGTTATCGATATCTAGGTCATATGATTTGATAGTGTCTTCTATAGACTCACTCAGGGACCCAGCGTACTTATTAAGCTACTCCAACTAAAGATTCAGCACCTCCAACCAGGGGTCGAGGAAGAGGTATTCCAATAGAGGTGGCATGACTTATGGAGGGGTGCTACAACTCTAGAGGGTGGAGGTCGGGGTTCTACTCAGACTACAGGTGGTAAAGAGGGCTAGTGTTATGCTTTTCTAGGGAGACATGAGGCTTCTGATGATGTGATCAGGTATTGTCCCAGTTTGCCATCGACCTATATCTGTATTGTTTGATCTCGAGTCTACTTTCTCATAGATGTTTACCTATTTCGTTGTCGGGTTTGATATGATGTCTAATTGCATGCCAATGCCTATTCATGTTTCTACACCAGTGGGTGAATCCTTAGTGGTTGATCGAGTGTATCGATCTTGTCTTGTTTCTTTGGCTTTGTATGGTACTTGGGTAGACTTGATCATTTTAAGGATGGTAGACTTTGATGTTATTTTCGGTATAAATTGGTTCACCATGCATCATACTATTCTGGATTGTTTTTCTAAGAATGTGACTTTAGCGATGCCAGGTGTCCCGAGAGTTTAGTGGATGGGTGCTAGTGGTTCTTACCCTAGCAAGGTTATTTCCTTCATTAAAGATCAACGTTTGGTTGATAGAGGGTGTTTATCCTACTTAGCTTTCATTCAGGATACTAGTGTTGATCCACCTTCCATGGATTATGTGTCTGTGGTTAGAGAGTTTTTAGATGTGTTCCTTACTGATCGTTCAGGTGTTCCTCCAGATAGGGCTATTGATTTTTCCATTGACTTAGAGTCGGGGCTTGTCCTAGAAACTTAATTTAGTAAAGGCTATCAGATAGTCAATTTAGCTTCGACTTATGTTTCTTCATATGCTTGTCTGCTTGAAGGTGTGTGATCTTTAATAGACTAAATCAGTTTAGCATCCACATTCATTTATTTCCAGTTGTTACTTTTGCGTTTCTTAGTGTCATGCCAAACCATGGTTTAGCTTGGGGTCACTTGTGGCTCTAAGTACCGAGTTACGGCTACGGGTTAGTCTAAGGTCGAAATACTAATTTATTAAATTAGTTCATATGAAATTTAAGCCTGAAAAAAAGTGGAATATAGAAAAGTTTCTCTAAGGCTGATGCAATTGTTTTGGGTGCAATACATACTTGTATTGGGTGCTTATGTTTTCCAGAATTAAAAAAAATAAGATACTCTATTTTGTTACATCCTTGTATCGAGTTGAAAATTCAAGCACAGTCCCTTTTGGAATATGGAATATACTAATAAAAACAATAAATATTAGATAAACTCATATTATAGAGATTCAGAATCTCACAGAGTTAATGTTGATGTAAATTGTAAATGCACTAAACTTGTCAAAGATGGAAATATAAAATAAAATAAATGACTTAATAATAAAGGCAGTCATATTAGCATACTCGATCACTGATAAAGACTTCTTCAAGTATAGCTCTAGCATCAAGAACTTCAGTTAACAACTCCATGAGAATTATAAGTTCAAGAACTCTCATCTTCTTCTGGCTCGGGGACAATATTTAAATCAAACTTGAAATGCTCACCCAAAATAGCACTTTTTGTTTCATTTAAAATTTTCTTTACCCGCAACAGCATTACCACCCTCTTCTCCTACATGTGTTTATCTGGAGGTATTTCTGAGCCAGGGTGCTTAATCTTATACATTAATATTCGTCTTCTTTCTTTCTCATTAAATATTTGCAATTCTTTGAGAAGATCATAAAGTTCCTTAAATCCAATTGATTTGCCCTCAGCATGATCACGTTGGCGATCCTCTAGTTTCCCTTTTAAAAACTTATCAATTATATCTTCAATACTTGTGGAACCGCAAGAAAATGGTTTTCCACCGGGTGAAAAAAGCATAACGCCAACTTCATATCCACTCCGATTTGCAAGCTTTTCTGCATCTTGGAACAAGGTTTTTTTCCTTTTGGAAAAACTTATAGCGCGTGCTCTCTTAGACTCAACTAAGTTCAACTCAATCTTTTGCTTACCTTTCTTGATCTCATTTTCCATTGTAGAAGAAAATAAGATGTTTTTATTGAATAATGTTGAGCAATTCCGAGAGGAACAATTGTATAATTTATAGTAGGTGTGTGAGTTCATTTGTCACAAGTATTGTAACATTTATTTAATGTTTTCATACCACAAGTCTCATTGTTGTCACATGTATTATCATTTTTTTTATATTATGACTTTATTTCACGTGTATTGTCACCTTTAGTTGGTGTTTTGTATTATATGAATCTATTACGTAATTATCATGGTTTCTAACAAATGTTTTCTTCTTATTTATTCGGGTGCAATTGTTAAGTAATAATGTTGAATTGAATCTTAAGATAAATAAAAAATAATTAGTTATTGTAACACCTAGTATCCGAAACAGACCAAAAATACAGATTTTCTAGAAGTTGAAGGTGCGACCCACGGTTGCCACCCACGGATCGTAAGGGGACCCATAGTCGGTTCTGCTGGTTCGTGGTTCGCGACTGCAACCCTTCCCTAGAAACCCCCAAAAAATTTGCCTGAGGGGTCAGCCTACGCCAGGACCTATGGACTGTAGGTCAGACCACAGTCCGTGGTCCAGGGCCGTAGGTCAGACCCTCAGCTTCCAGCTCCCAGTTATGATCAACGATTGACCAGTACGGTCTATCAGTCGATCGACAGTCCATCAGTCTGGTCCGTCATTGGCCCCCGACATCAGTTAAGTCAGGGGTCATTCGGTCTTTTCCTTATGCGTTGGACCCCTAAACTACGTCGTTTAACCCCTAAACTATGTAGTTTTTGTTAGTTTTAGACTAGTAACTTAACTAGAATATACCCTAAGCAAATCATTGACCAAAAACTTGGAAAAATTAGAACACAGAAGGAGAAAGAGTCAACCAAGCCCTAGTCCAAGAACGCAAAAGGTTTTCATCAGTTTCAACCCCGAAATCAAAAAATTTCTCCGTGGAATTCGTCACCAGGTATATGGGATTTCACTAGTGGGTTCCTTTCACCCATTAGGTCCCTAGAATTCAGCCAGATTCTTGATTCCCTTCAGATTATCTAGACCTAGGGTTTCTTGAATGTTAGAAATTATTGGGTTTCAGCAGTTAGAATGATCCAAATTAGATTGTCATGAATTCCGTATTGTTTTGTGTAGATTCTTTCATAAATTCAGAACCCTAGTTGTGTAGTTCTTTTAGTTCATGAATTACACATGTTAGATCAGTTAAACAGATATACATGCTCTAGTTTCGAACGTCACATTATCAATATATTTCAGCATGAACCATATTTTGAGTTATAAATCTTGAGAAACTCTAAATCCAACACTTGAGTTTTAAACTGAGTTTTTGAGAAAGTTAATATGAGTTTTGAGAAAGAGCTTCTAAAACATGATTAGTATGACAATCGAGTAGGCCATCAATGTATGAATAGTATGGTATCTAGATATACCATCAATGTTTATGCAGTATGACTTCCCGAGTCATCAATGATCATAGTATAATATGATTTTGAATTATGTTTTAGAAAGAGTTTTTAAGTATGAGTATTTGCATGTCAGTATTTTGAGCTATTCAGTATTTCAGTCATAATGTATCATATACATGCCTCAGTTAAGAATGTTTCATTATCAGTACTTAATGTTGCATTTTCAGTTAGCATGTCAGTTCTTGAGCTATCCAGTATTACAAAAATTCAGTCATAAAATGTTATTTACATAATCAATTGAGAGAAGGTTAATGCCGAGTGGACTAGGGTCAATCGCCCTCAAGTCCCAGAACTACGTGCCCCGTAGGTTGTAAGTCCCCTCTGTGGGCATCATTTTAGTGATCACGCCAGTCATGCCTCTATACCTCTGGTAGGGTATATTGGGTCCTCTCGATGGGATGTATAAATCGGACTCCACATTTAACTCATGTGGTTTTATATCAGTTATTATTAGCTCCCCTACAGTCAGATTCTATTGGATTGACCATGTTATCAGTTACAGTCAGATTTCAGTCTCAACATGTTATAAACTTGGTCATAGCATTCAGTTAGTTCATGTTCAGTATTCTCAGTATAGTATTGTGCTTATCTCTTATCATTGCTCAGATATATGCTTTGGTTCACTTATGATTATTGTTCCACTTTATTTTATCTTGCATGCTCAGTACCTTTCAAGTACTGATGCATACTATGCGCTACGTCTTCTTGTGATGTAGGTTCAAGTTCTCAGATTCCAGATCATGCATAGATCGGTTCTCGATCTTAAGTTCAGCAGCATCAGTTGTGAGTCCTCATTCATCGAGTACTAAGTGACATGATTATCTTCCTTTGCTTTTAGTTTTAGTTTCAGTTTTTGCTGGATTTAGCAAGGGCACATCCCAGCACTTCTAATCAGTAAGAGGCTATTTTCAGATATAGTTAGTTTCATCTTTAGTGTTTGAGTTTGACTTTTCAGTTGTTGTTGAACTCTCAGTTTTCATTTATTCAGAAGATAGTAAATGGGTATTCCTCATCATTTCAGTTTACATGAGGATGTAGCTTCCGTACAATATTTCTTTACTTTAGTTTATCTTTAGTATGCTTATGATATGCCAACAGGGTTACCTTGGGGTCTCTCGTGATCTTAGGTCCCATGTCCGTGTCCTGGGGTAGTTTCGGGGTGTGACAAACTTGGTATCAGAGCACTAGGTTTAAGTGTCCTAGGATGTCTGAAAAGACGCACTAAATAGAGTCCTTTTCATGGGTCTGAAGTGCACCACATCTAATGAGAAGGGGGCTACAAAGTGTTTTAGGAAAACTTCACTCTCTTTGTTACTCTTATCGTGTGTAAGGTATGATCTAATTCCTCATTTATAACTCGACGTTAGGCGTTTCAGATCATGCCTACTCGTTAGAGCTTATGTATGGAATTCTAATGCACGCATTGCTAACACAGTTCCTCTGGTCCCAGACCATGATGTTTCGAACGCAGAGTTTTGAGTTGCGATTCAACTTTTGGCTCAGAGTATGACCAACCAGAACAATCAGTAGGTTCTAGTTTCTACTAATTGAAATGGTGGATCAGTGGCAACTAGAGTTTGAGATTTTGTTAGGATGAATCCACCTGAGTTTTTAGGGTTGCAAGTTGGTGAGGACCCACAAAATTTCATTGATGAGGTAAAGAAAATCTTTGGAGTTATGCAAGTGACTGGTAGTGATAAGGTGGAATTGACATCCTACCAGCTTAAGGATGTGGTTCACATAATGTTCACTCAGTGGAAAAATAGCAGGCGTACGTTGTCTTTCGTTACTCACTATATAGCAGTCAACTTAGGTGTTAGTCCAGAAACTCTCTCAGAACCCTTCTCAATCTCTACCCCAGTCGGTGACCTAGTTATAGCTAGACGGGTATATAGAAATTGCCCCGTCAGAGTCTCTCAGAAAGTCACCTCAGCAGATCTTGTAGAGTTAGAAATGGTAGATTTCGATATCATTCTACGCATGGATTGGTTACATTCATATTATGCCTCAATCGATTGTAGAACTAGGATTGTTCATTTTCAGTTTCGAGACGAACCAATCTTAGAATGGAAGGGTAGTAGCTTAGCGCCTATGGGTCGATTCATTTCTTACCTCAAGGCCGGAAAGATGATCTCTAAGGGTTATCTCTATCATCTAGTTCGGGTTAAGGATTCAAGCTCTGAAACCCCAACTCTTGAGTCAATTCCTGTAGTTAATGAGTTCCCGGAAGTACTTCCAGAAGATCTTCCCGGAGTTACTCCCGAAAGGGAAATCGACTTTGCAATTGATTTCATTCCAGATAACCAGCCTATTTTTATTCCTCCTTACATAATAGCTCTAGTTGAGCTTAAGGAATTGAAAGAGACTTTCTAGATAAAGGCTTCATCAGACCCAGTATTTCCCCATGGTGTGCACCAGTGTTGTTCGTGAAAAAGAAAGATGGTTCTCTCAGGATGTGCATTGACTATAGGCAGTTGAACAAAGTCACAATCAAGAATAAGTATCACATCCCCATGATTGATGACTTGTTTGACCAACTTTAGAGTGATAGTCATTTCTCAAAGATAGAACTCAGATCCGGTTATCATCAACTGAGAGTCAGAGATAGTGACAGCCCAAAACAACTTTCAGAACTCAGTATGGTCATTATGAATTTGTAGTTATTTGGACTAACCAATGCTCATGTAGCTTTCATGGATCTGATTAACAGAGTGTTCAAGCAGTATTTGGACTTGTTTGTTATCATCTTTATTGATGATATCCTCATTTACTCTAGAAATGAGGAAAAACATGCAAATCATTTGAGGGTTGTCGTGCAAACTCTCAAAGATCGCCAGTTATTCGCTAAGTTTAGGAAATGTGAGTTTTGGTTGCAATATGTTGCTTTCCTTGGCTATATTGTGTCTAGCGAAGGGATCCGAATGGATTCTCAGAAAATAGAAGCAATGAAACAATGGCCCAAACCTACCTCTCTTACAGATATCAGAAGTTTATAAGGTCTAGGGGGATATTACAGACGGTTCGTGGAAGGATTTTCATCCATAGCCTCCCCATTGATTAAGTTAACTTTGAAAAAGGTTAAGTTTCAATGGTCAGATGATTGTGAGAAGAGCTTCGCAAAATCGAAAACTAGGTTGATGATGTTTGCGTAATCAAGACACAACTTCCGATGCAAGTGTCTACAATCGTACAATAGTTTAGTAACCCAACCAAGGGTTGGGATCGTTCCCAAGGGAGTGGTTTTGAGAATTAATAGAAAAATAAAATTTAGTTCTAACTAGTCATAGCTAAAGACATTAACGATTAAAAATATTGTAAATTAAAGGGGACACAAGAGTGTCAATTAACAATGGGGGGTTTTGTCACAAGTAAGGTAAATACAACAAATTAAAAAGGATTTCATAATGAGAGGGAATCCTTGGGATGTGATGGGAATACGGATTAAGCTAGATTATTGGGTACATGTTTTCGATAGAAGATTCATAGAATAATTGTGACTAGGCTAAACTTTAAGGGGGATAAGCTCTCTCTCGATCAACTTACCTCGCTTCAAATGTGTTCCTCTCAGACACCCATTTGTCGCATGAAGACCAACCTACGCCTTAACCCACTCACTCTCTCGAGCTGAGTGTGTGGGAATGAGACTAGGATTCACTCTCTCGAGCTGAACCTCATGTCGACCCACTCCCACCAGCCATCAATTTAGTAGTTTTAGTTTTATGACCTCTCTCTCGAGCAAGCCGAAAACACATAAATAAACTTATATTTGTAACTACAAATTCATTAAATTCATCCACAACTACTAAACGAAATCACAATTAAACTATCAGCAAGCAAGACCCAATAATTATCTTAACCCATATTCTCTAAATCACACCCCAAGAATTAGGGTTTTAGCCACACATGTATAAGAGCTAGAAATTTATACCAAATTGAGCTCGCATTCAACTGCGTATGAAGATTTAAGTCTTGATACAGGCCAAAATTTAAGAATGCAAGAGACCCAAATCCAAATCTTGAAGATGAAACCCTTTGGATCTACAAGTCTTCAAAACACTCTCAAAGTTAGAACAAAAATATCAAAAAGTACTATTCTATATGGAAATTATAATAATTGTTCGACTCTTAAAACTACAACTCTAACTAGTATTTATAGTTTTCACAAATTTGTGCTGCAGCGGATCATTCGGCGTCGTTAGTTGGAATCACAGATCAACTAGACGATTCGCCATTTGGTGTAGTTCATCGCCATCTTGAACCAGCCTTCAGCATCGTCGTGTTTTGGGTCATTGGGCGACATGGTACTGCTTCGCAGAACTTCTCAGCGATGCGCAAACTGCTCCCTTTTTACACCGACTTGATCCTTTCTTTCAGGGCTCAGCACACTGTAACAAAAAATGAGGTAAGACCCTTCGGCGACTCGCCAAGTGGACTCTGCAATCCTCAGGTCTTCATTTCTTCGTTCTTTTCAGCCTTTTCTTTCCTTTTTGCGACGTAGTGTCCATGCTTTCCTTCAAACTTCAAATACCTGAAACTTAAGGGTTTTTATCAGATATTGAGATAAAATAAGCATTTGAGGACACAATTTCTATTAAAATATAGCCCTAAATGAGTCCAATTTGTAGACTCATCAACACCCCCAACTTAAACTTTTGCTTGTCCTCAAGTAAAATTCAAATTCAGTAGTTCAACAAGGATGTCTCAAACAGTGCTACATAAGACTCAATTATGAATGTACACAACAAGACTCAATTTACTTATGCAAGGATCAATTGTGTACTCAAAGATTCAAGTTGTGACACACCATTACCAAAGATTCTCAAGCTCACAATACTTGCTTCAAATGTAAGTTCAAGCTCAACAAAAGCCTTCGAATGCCCTCACACAAATGATGATTCCATTTTCACACACAAAGGTAAAGTTCAGGAATCAGATACAACACTCATACTCACAAAGATAAACACAATGCATGCTTTTCACCCATAGGTTTACTCGTATTTTCCAATCAACATTTGTTTCGACTTTCTCAAGATCACAAAGGTCTTAACAAGGCTTGTAACGGGGCTGAGTGCAAAGGTATGGTCATTTAGGCTCAGTGACTTTTATCCTCATGAAATTTGGTGCTCTCAACACTTCCTTTCATTTTCCTTCATCATTTTCATTAGTGCATCATAGGTCATCCTATTATTCGCTTCCCATGGATTGTTCGGAAACCTATTTATTTGGTACTTTATTCCACAAGTTTCTTTTTGATTTTTTTCTTTTTTTTATATGGAAGGGTTACACTTTTCTCAACACCATGGGTTAAATGAGACTTTCCTTGTAGTTCTTGACTTTCCCTTTTCTTTTTCACCACACCCCCAACTTAGGCTTTTGGCCTACGTTGGCTATTCAATTAACCACAATTCAAGAGGATTATAGGTAATGGATTAAGAAAGGTCTAGTTTTCATCAAGTTTCTTCCAAAGAAGGGTAAGGCTCAAAGGGTATTCAAGAGAGAACACACGCTCACAATGTACGTCACAAAAGAGGTATATGTCAAATTAGTTCACACTCTTCAAAGCTTCCTAAGATCATATCACGATAAATTCTTACTTAGTCAACCGGACCAATAGGGTAAATTCTAGGTGTTGTCATGCATGGTTCTAGGTAAGCTTATCACACAAGGCATCGACACTTAAGTCAAACAAGACTCCACACTTTTGCTAGTGTGCAACGGTCATCACAAGAGAATCGATTTGATAAATGGCTAATCACAACGAGATGTAAAGAGTTCACATATTGTCTATGCAACTTCATTTGGCCTCATCATAGCCTTACATTCATGTCGTTCGATTGTAAGCACTATTCAAGTCATTGGTATTGATCAAAACCGAGACGCAAATTTGCCAAGGAACATCCGCATTCAACACACGAGCATATAAAGGGTGGCAAAAATGTGTGAAAAATTCAAAAAAAATTGGAAGGGTCAAAATCATTTTGCAGTTTAAAATAAAAGAAGCCACAAGCTCAAACATTCACATAAAAGTAGTATTAACACAATTTTAAAACAGAACAGCCCAAATATATACACGAAACACAAACAAAAGTAGCACACAAAGGTGTGGGCCTCACCCCACCACAAACAAAAACATTTGTCCTCAAATGCAAATAAAAGTATCCAAAAGTAAAAGCATATAAGAGAGAGAGGGAGGTAAGGAAAAGTCATGTCTATGCAGTCTCTCCATCTGTCGGGGTCTTAGTGCCCGATGTAGCAATCTGAATATGGGCATCAGTGCCCGCAATAGCCTCAAGAGGAATAGCAGTGCCAGGTCTGCTAGGAGTTGTTGTGGACGTATCAGTCAGAGGTGTCTAGATCGCTGGCTGCAGAACTATCCCCACAAGATCTGACAAATCTCCGAATAGGCTTTATTCTCGACTCTCTACAATCTCCTCCTCAGGTGTTGCTAGTAGCTCCTCATCTGTCCCTACATCTGAATCATCATCTGTTGTGCCACCCCTCTGCACATATCTGGTGGTAGCCAGAGGGATCCCCGAGGTCTCAGGCACGTCCAGGTCGTCTTCCCTTTCTATTAATGAACCGAAGTCAATAGTCTTTAGATAGTCTACATCCTTCCTCAGATCTGCTACTTCGGCTTTTAAAGCTGAAACCTCAGAAGACTTTCCCTGTCTGTTTTCACAAGTTGTGATTCTCACCATCAAAGCATCAACAAAAGTCTGAAGCAGGGTGAGTGTAGCAAGTATGGCACTCTCGATCATCCCTGGAATGGACCTCTCGAGTCGGGCCACTCGTGTATCAGTTGATTGGGCTAAACACCTGTCACAACCCAGAGGTGCCCTCTAGACGTAAAACGGCATACTCGACCCCAAAGGGGTCTAATACAAGCCCTTAGCGTCATCATAACATACCATCATAGAAAAGTAGGGGAAATTTAAAACTTTCTTTAAAACATTCAATCGAAAACATTTCATAAAAGCGGAAGTCTTTCCTAAGTCTGTCTCAAAACCATCTATGAATAACATGAATAAAAGTCTTGGGAAGCAACCCATAATAAGTCTAAAACATAGGAAATGACATAAAAGGAACATAGTGGGTTTGTCCTCGAATCTATGAGGACTCATCAATTCTTCAAGACTTCAAACGCCTTAGAAACCTAGCCTCCAAAGCAACTCAAACTCCAACACTCTACATTTGATTAGAATGTAGGCAATATGCATTAGTACAAAATGTACCAAGTATGAAAGCTAACATACCAACATAAAACATCTCAAAATGGTTAGTCAACATAAGGCATAAGCATAAGAGATAATAGCATAGTCATAACTTAAACTCCAACATAAGCATCATACCATAACAAGTCAACATAAGACATTCATAATTTCATACTTCAATCATTAGTCTTTCATATTCAAGAGAACTACTTCACAAGCCACCTCCAACCATACTTGTGCAAGGCATAGATAGCATCCCATAATACTATCAAAGCTAAGTACCTCTCTTTGGTTATTCTTGGTCATAGTCCACCTTTATAGTCAAGACCTAGGTTTTCATGTCATAACAGCACTATACTCCTAAGTAACGTCAAGGCACACTTGTGCAATGCATGTGGGGCATCCCACAATACCACACACGCTAAGCTTATCTTGAAGTCACCCTATTCATATTTACCATCTCTAGGTGTCACTATAGACCTACTTCATATTGACAAGGAATTATCAACTTAAGTCAATCATATCATGGAAGGCAACTATAGCAACAATCCAAGCTAGGCATACATTACATAAGAGGACACTTCATAAGTAGCTACAAGTCATACTTGTGCCATGTATGAGTGGCATCTCATAATACCACTCACACTAAGTACTCATTTAGGCTAGCTTACTCAATGCTTATTATTCATCATTCTAAACTATCAAAGAATAGCATACTACCATGCTAGACCTATCTACTATGAAAAACACCTTACCATGCAATCAAAGCTATCCTAGGCAGGATACAAGTATACCAACCTAGCTACCATGCTATCATTCAATAGGATGCAAGCTATCCTTAGGGGAGTATGAACCCTCAACCCTAAGTTATCCTTAGGAGAGTGTGGTGTCTCAATCCTAAGCTACCACGAAATGGTCTTGGCCTAACCAAGTCAAGCTACCATGAAGGCATTCTAACAATGCTAGTTCAGCTACCCAAAGGAGAGTATATATCCTCAATTCTAGGCTACCATGAAAAGCATCCTACCAATGCTAATTCAAGCTAACCTTAGGAGAGCTTAATTCCTCAATCCCAAGCTACCATGAGATCTACCATCCCAAGCTACATAATTCAACAATACATGAAGGAATCATAAGGCTCAACTTCAAGCTATTCTATTCTAACAAGCATGATTCATTTTAGGTAATTAGCCTTTCAATCTAGAATCATTTTTTGTGAGAATACCTTTCACATTCTATATATGCAAGCTATCTCCTCATATTAAACTTACCTAGTGATCAACATTATGACTTCAAGCCCTACATTCAAACTTCACTCTATAACCATCATACTAGTCTAGGTCACAAGCCATATTTAATCACAACCCTTAATCATAGACAATTCTAAGCATAATTCATCATAGAGTCCCAATTTTAATCATTCAATTCATATTCTATCATACATGCATAAGTCTAGTTCAATTCATGATTTCATATTCCCATTCTTAGATTAGTTCTATTCATGGTGATAACTCTAGCAAATGAGGTAAACATAGGTCTAATAAGCTTATATAGTTGCTAGGAAAGGAATAGAATAATGTAGGGTCAACTTTGGTAAAGACTAAGGACCCTAAACGTTTTTAACTTAAAAATTACTAGGCTTCACATCTTACATTGCCTTTTGCACCCCCATGGCTCGCCAAGGGCACTAGACGACTCGCCAAGTGGACCCTTGGCTCGCCCAAATTTCTAGCAAGCTCAATAATGGGGCAGCTTCACTAGGCGATCTTGGGAGCCAATGGGCGATATGCCAAGTAGGTTGGTGAGCTATGACTTAGCTTGCCCTTTGTTCCAGAACCAAGGGTAAAGGGACAGCCCACTAGGCAACCTTAGGTGCCCTTTGGCGCATCGCCAAGTGACTTGGGTGATCAAGCTGCCCAATAGCCAACTAGTCACCTAAGAGAATAAGTTATCTTTCACTCTACCTTGTTAGCTTAGGCCCTTGCAACCATATACCATTCCATAGATAGTCTTCTAAACTATGGGGTCTAATATGTATCTTGAAATTCAACTACTAAGACCCTCATTCAAAGTACGGAAAGTCTCATTTACAACTCTATTTCACATACATCAAACCTTAGAACCCTAGCTTGAGGCTCTAGTTTGGTCTACTAGTTTCCAAGGTGTTACAACGCCCCATCTTCAAGATCATGGCCTGAGTAATCCTGGCTGGCTGGGAGGATGATGAAACACCTGGGGCTTGCAAAGAAGAGGAAGGGGTGGATGTACCTGAAGTCTTAAAAGTTGGAGTAGGCGAAGATGCCTCTGCTCGTAATGAGTCAACATTGACCTCTGGAGAAGTGTCTACTGGAGTTGTTCTCCTTCTGTCAACCTTTTCTCGTGTGAACTCGGCCTCAATACGTCAGATATCGGTGGTGGAAGACGGGGTGACCTCAACATCCCTCATAGTGTAACGAGGTACTCTAGCTCGCTGGAACAGCTCAGTGACCAGAACTGGAAAAGGCAGAGACATCATCTTCTGTTTGGCTCTCATGGCCATCTTTTGTGAAATCAACAGCCCCAATTCAATGCGCCTCCTGGCCATGATAGAACCAAGGCAAGGTACCTTAGGATGATGCAATATGGACTCGTTCTGGGATAGCATGATAGTGCTGCTGATGAAGCCAAACCAGAACTTGGCAGCAATGTTCAAGTCATTCTTCTCAATAAGAGCCCATGCATTCATCCACCTCGGGGTTGTGTTAGAAATCATCGGAGCTAACCAACCCTTAAAATCATATAGGGACTGAAAAATAGGTAACCCCTCATAAGGAAGTACTAAATGCAGTGGTCTACCTAACACACTATTAATATGCTTGTTGTGGCACTCAACCGTCTTGCCTCAGACCATAACCGACTTCACCGGTCTAAACTCACTTGCCTTCTTCTTGTTCTTGGGCACCAACTAACCATAGGTTGTGTAAAATTTCCTAACCTAGGAAGGAATGTAAGGGCCTCGGGGTCTTATGAACTGCACTAACTCATGGTAGCGGAGGATGTCCATAACATCGAGATATTTCCCTTCTATGTCCTCCATAGATAGAAGTTTTTCTTCTATGATAGTTCGTACCCTCTTCACCTTTTAACTTGTTCAGCAGTCTAGCTGGAGGAACGATAGGGAGTGCAGGAGTCACTGGGGTGCCTGAGCTGGCACTACATATGATTCAGGAGGAGCTGCAGCTGATGAAACTCTGGTGGGTGTGGGTTGAGGTCTATCTCGGAGCCTATTCTATCAGTGAATCAAGGGTTGATCATCTTTAGGCTCACACCACTCAACTTGGGTCTCTATAGCTACTCATTTCTTTGCTATATGTTTCTTCTTTTTTCTTTATCTCCTGGTGGGATTTCTTCTCTTTCTCTCTTTGGAGGATTTGAACCTCTTTCGTTTATATTAATGCCATTTGCTGCTTTCTTGAGTGGCATGCTTTTATTTGTACGTACCATATCTACAAAGATTGGGAAGAGTTAAGGAAAAAATAAAATAGAAGCACAGGCAATCTACTGCAGGAAGACTTGCCAAGTAGATCGGTGAGTCGCCAAACCTCTTTGGCGAGCTAACTCGGGATCGCCGAAAGGATTGGCTTCAAATTATAGCAATTCGGTGATGGCCCAACATGCCCATTTTCAATCCACTTTCTCGAATTCAATCCCGCAAACCCCAAAAATAAAATTAAAGCATGCACTAACGAAATTCAAACAAGACCCGCACTACCCATTACCCTGGGATACTCAGATTTCTCCCGGATTTGACTAATTTGGACATTTGACAAATTTGCTCTTAAGATTGGTGTCACCGCTCTATCTTTGAGCAAATTTTTGACATTTAGCGCAAACGTGAACTACTCAGACTTCACCCAATCGATCTAATGACACGCAATCACAACCCAATTCATTAAAAAGCACAAAAATTATGGGCATTTGACAATCAAACAATACGGGCAAGATTTTCAAATTAAAATAGGGATTTAAGCATTATAATCCTATCAGAGAGGCCCAGTACACAAAAATACATTACGATCATTGCGAATGAGTACAAAATTTTTGAAATTAATGTTGGGGTTTTAGAAACTAGCCTTCAGTGCCGATTGAAATATGATTGAAATGTTATGCGGCAAAGAAATCCTAGTTCCAAGCACCAATCAATAACTAAAATACTAATTGAAAGCAAGGAGATTAAGAGTACTACCTTGGTGTGAGTTTTGAAGTTTAAAAAGTGAGGGAAAGTGAAGAAGTTTGAATTTTAAGACTTTTGGCCATTATAAACCGTCCAGTTCATGTCCATTCGGTGACATTAGTACTGCTCGCTGATTTAATCAATGATTTGCCAAATGGTCTAGTATCTCGCCAAGTTTTACAGGGCTTCCAGTTTACATAGAGGTCCAAACGGCGGACACTAGCGGGATCGCCAACCATTTCCACGATTCGCCAACTCGATCCTTATTTCGCCAACCTGCACTTTTCAACACATTCTTCATTTTAACCTACAAAATCAACACACCATTATTTATAAAAGCAAACTAAAGCATTTAAAACCTTGGGTTGCCTCCCAAGAAGAGCCTTATTTAACGTCGTGGCTCGACGTGAGCTACCAGTCAAACTTATTCCATGGGGTTAGACCTAATGCCACTAGGCAACCCACATTTACTGCTTGGGTAGAGATGAGGCAATGTGTGGTCCAAGAGGTCTTCAATCAACTTGATTGATCTTGAGTGGGAGCCACTCATCTGATTCAGTACCTCCATGCTTTCCCTCATCGCCTCTAGCATTCTATCTTACTCGTGAAGCTTTTGGAGAATGATTAATAGCGTATCCTCGATACATTTATTTTCATAGCTCCTAGACCTTTCTCGCTCATAAGGAGGTATGTTCCTCCTTTGGCTCTTGCACTGGTTTTCCACCTTTGAGATTTTGGTGGCCAAGTTGTTCAGCTGAGTTACCAGTGCAGCTAACTTGAAGTCACCCTTGACTGCTGGGTTCGCCTCAGCTAACTTGCAACCACTTCCCTCAGCCATGCTCAGGGTTTCTACATACAACAACTTAGAGAAAAACAAAACTAAAAATAAAATCAGAAAAACTACAACTATTAAAGACAGAAATTATATTTAACTAAGAATTCCCAAATAACACCACTCTTCGGCAGCGGTACCATTTTGATGTTTGCGTAATCAAGACACAACTTTCGATGCAATTGTCTACGATCGTACAATAGTTTAGTAACCCAATCAAGGGTTGGGATCGTTCCCAAGGGAGTGGTTTTGAGAATTAATAGAAAAATAAAATGTAGTACTAACTAGTCGTAGCGAAAGACATTAACGATTAAAAACATTGTAAATTAAAGGGGGACACAAAAATGTCAATTAATAATGGGGGGTTTTGTCACAAGTAAGGTAAATACAGCAAATTAAACAAGGATTTCTAAGTAATGAGAGGGAATCCTTGGGATGTGATGGGAATACGGGTTAACCTAGATTATTGGGTACATGTTTTTGATAGAAGATTCATAGAATAATTGTGACTAGGCTAAACTTTAAGGGGGATAAGCTCTCTCTCGAGCAACTTACCCCGTTTCAAATGCGTTCCTCTTGGACACCCACTTGCCGCATGAAGACCAGACTACGCCTTAACCCACTCACTCTCTCGAGCTGAGTGTGTGGGAAGGAGACTAGGATTCGCTCTCTCGAGCTGAACCTCATGTCGACCAACTCCCACCGGCCATCAATTTAGTAGTTTTAGTTTTACAACCTCTCTCTCGAGCAAGCCGAAAACACATAAATAAACTTGTATTTGCAACTACAAATTTATTAAATTCATCTACAACTACTATACAAAATCACAATTAAACTACGATTAAACTATCAGCAAGCAAGACCCAACAATTATCTTAACCTATATTCGCTAAATCACACCCCAAGAATTAGGGTTTTTAGCCACACATGTATAAGAGATAGAAATTTATACCAAATTAAGCTCGCATTCAACTGGGTATGAAGAGTTAAGTCTTGATACAGATCAAAATTTAAGTATCCAAGAGACCCAAATCCAAATCTTGAAGATGAAACCCTTTGGATCTTCAAAACCCTTTCAAACTTAGAGCAAAAATATCAAAAAGTACTATTCTATATGAAAATTATAATAATTGTTCGACTCTTAAAACTACAACTCTAACTAGTATTTATAGTTTTCACAGATTTGTGTTGCAGCGGATCATTCAGAGTCGTTTGTCAGAATCGCTGATCAACTTGATCATTCGCCTTTTGGTGTAGTTCATCGCCGTCTTGCACCAGCCTTCAGCATTATCGTGCTTTAGGTCATTGGGCGACATGGTACTGCTTTGTGGAACTTCTCGGCGATTCGCCAACTGCTCCCTTTTTCCGCCAACTTGATCCTTTCCTTCAGGGCTCAGCACACTGGAAAAAACAGTGAAGTAAGACCCTTCGACGACTCGCCAAGTGGACTCAGCGATCCTCAGGCCTTCATTTCTTCGTTCTTTACAGCTTTTTCGATCCTTTTTGCGACGTAGTGTCCATGCTTTCCTTCAAACTTCTAATACCTGAAACTTAAGGGTTTTCATCAGATATTGAGATAAAATAAGCATTTGAGAACACAATTTCTATTAAAATATAGCCCTAAATGAGTCCAATTTGTGGACTCATCAGTTGACTAAAGCTCTTTTTTTGAATCTAACAAACAGTTCAGACGGTTATGTTATCTACTGTGATGCATTCAGAGTTAGCCTAGGTTGTCTGTTGATGCAGCGAGGTAAGGTTATAGCATACGCTTCTAGACAACTTAAGTACATGAAAAGAACTATCTGAATCATGACCTCCAGTTAACAGCAGTGGTGTTTCCACTTAAGATTTGGAGACATTACTTGTATGGTGTTCACAGACCATAAGATCTTTCAGTATGTATTCACCCAGAAAGAGTTGAATCTTTATCAGAGGAGACAGCTTGACTTCCTCAAGGATTATGATATGAGTATGAATTACCATCCTGGTAAGGCCAATGTAGTAGTAGATGCTCTTAGCAGACTATCTATGGGTAGTGTGGCACATGTAGAGAAAGAAAGAATGGAACTAGCAAAGGATGTTCACAGGCTTGCTCTATTAGGAGTTCGTCTTATGAGCATATCAAATGGTGGTGTAACACTTCAGAATGGATCAAAATCTTCATTGGTAGTGTAGGTTAAGGAAAAGCAAGACAATAATCCTATATTGCTTCAAATAAAGGATGCAGTCCATCATCAGAGAGTTGATGTTTTCTCCTAAGGGGGAGATGGTGTGTAACACCTCGGAAAACTAGTAGGTGAAACTAGAGCCTTACAAGTGAGTTGTTTAGTTTGATGTGGAGTTTTATGTTGTAAAATGGTTTCCTGAGCTTAGGTTGAGGGGTTGAGGGGTTTAGGGGTTAAACGTTAAGGTACGACCCCCCAAGGACCAACCAAGGGTCCTTGAGGAGGACCCTGAAGTTTAACCCCAAGGCTTCCCCAAACAACCAAAACTACCAAATGTTTCAAAACCCACGAATTGAACCTACTGGGCATAGGTCCATCCACGCCCCATGGAACCAAACCGTAGGTCAAGACCCCTAGATGGAGAGTTTCAGACCCCACCCACGGACCTGCAGGACGGGGCTTGAGTCCACTCATGGTCCGTGGGTCAAGGGGTGTGAGTCATACCTGAGTTTCCGCCTAGGTTCGGCCAAGGGAGGGGCAACTTGGTAAATTCCTAGAGTGGTTAGTTAAGTTAGGGGTCGTTTTATATTTGAATATTTAGACTTATTTAAGACCTTTTAAACTATAAACTACCCCTTTACAACTCATAATTCCCAAAACCCAAAAATAGAAACCACCTCCTCTCCAAAATAATTATCTCTCTAGAAACTTCCATTGGAGAAGAAGAAATCAAGGTTTAGAGCTCAAGAGTTCATCTGTCTCACTCAATTTCGTGGATATATTCAATCAAAGTATGGTAGTTTTCATCTATGGGTAGCTTTCACCCATAGAGTCCCTCCAAAACAAGATTTCAAAGCTTCCAATTTCCCCCAAAAGTTAGGGTTTCAATCTAAGTCATGGGTTCAACTTCAAAACGTTTTCAATGATGGATTTCTGACAAATTATGATTGAATTGATGAATTAATGTTGATTTATGATGCATTTCCCCCATGAACCCATGAATCCACCAAATTACTAAATTGTGACTTTATGATGATGTGGGTTGATTGATTATGGAAGTATGTTAATTGAGTATGTCTATATTGATTTAGTTATTGAATCATGATATTCCCCTTATATAATGTATTATTCTAGATGCTTGGGTTGAGATTGATTCACAGCCTTGGAGGGCAAATTATTGAAGATTGATGTATAATCATGATGCTATGTAAATGCTTTGTGATTTCAATGAAAGTAATGTGATCTTGTCTACAATACAATTGTGTTATTATTGAAAGGTTATTCTCAATTATACACTTATGAATTATTATGATATATGTGAAAGGTTTCCTCAAGGTAATGATACATCTTGAATTGGTATGCTTAGGGCATCCTCTTCTTGTGTAAATGAAAGTGATCTTGATTAAGGTACCTAGAATTGGTAGGCTTAGGGAATCCTCTTCTTGTGTTCCTAATGTATCTTGACTTAACAAACATTGAATCGCAAGACCTAATGGTGGCAGCCCTTTCATAAATGATTAATGAAGTATTCTAGGCTTTGTCTTGAATCAGTAGACCTAATGGTGGTAGCACTTGCATGATGAGTCTATGAACTACTATAATGATGTACCTTGGATCGGTAGGCTAACAGAACCCTCTCATGAATGATAAGGATGAACCTTGAATCGGTAGGCTTATGGCACCATTTCATGAGGATTCAATGAGCTATCCTAATAATGTACCTTGAATCGGTAGGATCATGGCACACTTTCATGTGTGTAATATTGTACCTTGGGTCGGTAGGCCAATGGCATCCCTCTCATGAGTAATAATGTCAAAGGAATGAACTACTCTATAGGAATGTAAGCTTAGCACTGAGTGGATATGGTAAGATGGAAGCTCTCCCCATGTTAGGCCGGGTTTCAATAAACATCTTTCTTATCCCAAACTATGTACCCACATAGGTTATTAGCTAGCGGATCCACCTAAGCTAAAATATTACCAGTCCTACCTTAGGCAAGTAGACCAACCCTTTACAGTGTGGGATTGACACCGGATTCCATGATTTACTCACATGGTCTACGTCGGTTAATGATTATTCACATCATGTGAATTACATGCTATGGTTACTCAAGCGGTTCTATGAAGTGTGGGTGGTAGTATGAGATGACATTCATGCATTGCACGAGTAGGCTTTAAGAGGGCTATGGTGTGTTTCTCTAATGTCCTAATGTCTAATGAATGAATGTGCTCATAATGAAGCTAATGAGAATGGTTACTTTAAGGCTTAATGTAATGATGATATCCTTACTTGGAAATGTTATTATGAGTTACTTTCTTTGTCATGACTTATGAAATGCTTATGTTCCTTATCTATGATTATTGACTAAATATGAGAAGGAAGAACGGTAAGTTCATCTAGGGTGGCCTCAAAGTGGTCCTTAGTATGAATAGTAGTATGGGATGTCATTCCTACATTGCACAAGTATAGCTTAGGATTGCTTTAGGTGATTGTTTTAAGCTTTTGTAATGACTTATATGATGATATGTTTGTATCCTATGCCTTTTATACTAAAGTTCATGATGTTTTCTCAAAATTGGCATATAGCATGGTTTTCAACCAAAATGTCCTTTTTAAGCATGATTTTTGCATGGCTATAATACTTAGTACATTAATTGTGCTAACCCATATTTCTTCTATTTTTCTACGAAGTGTAGGTTCCGACATTTAAGGTGATTCATCTAGTTCAAAGCTTGGATTGATTCTCTCCAAAGCTTGTGGTATGTCCTCATGACAAGTACTATATTGTTAATTCATTTCTTTCATTGTACTAGACACTTTTAGACTTTCTATTGTAAGGGTCGTGACCCTATCTTTGATTCAAGTTGTATGAGATGGCCATGTGAGATAAGTAGACTTCCATTGTTTGTGTTTAAATAAAGTTTTTGATTGTATGGATTATAAGATTTCAAATTATGTACCATTTTTCTTATGTCTTATGTTATGAATGTTATGAGGCTTGTATGAGTCTCTTCGGAGTCTTGTACATCGTGTTACTTCTGGGGTGTAGGATGATGTCTCACAAGCCATGTCTAGTACAGTGGTGTTCATAGTGTGAAGCACGCCACATTTATAAATGAGAGGCTATAAAACGTTAGGAAACTACACTTCTTTCATTACTCTTTGAGTTTTGCCATAGAGTTTATCTCTATAAAGTCCTTTTCCTAACCTTTCTCTTTTGTCTATAGGATATGAATACAAGAAGGGAGAATGCAAGAAGGATGGAAGAGGAGATTGTGAATGAGGGAGTTCCTCCCCATGGTCCTCAAGGCAATCAAGCTCCAGTTGATCCTGCGGCCATGACAGATGGGGAAGTTAGGTCAGCTCTTTTAATGATGGCTCAAGCCGTAACTACTCAAGCCTAAGCTATGACAGCTCAAGCCAATAGGGGTGTTGAGACTTATGTGAACCCTAATGTGAGTACTATGGCTTCTAGGTTGAGGAATTTTGTTAGAATGAACCCCCCGGTGTTTCTTGGTTCCAAGGTGGGAGAGGATCCCCAAGAGTTTGTGGATGAGTTATATAAGGTAGTTGATGCTATGGGGGTGAATTCTATAGAGAAAGTGGAGCTAGCCGCTTACCAATTGAAGGATATTTCTCAAATTTGGTTTACTCAATGGAAGAGCAATAGGCCGGTAGGAGCGGGTCCCATAGATTGGGAGGTGTTTAAGAATGCATTCCTTGATAGGTTCTTTCCCCGTGAGAAATGGGAGGTTAAGATGGAAGAATTTATCAACCTTAGGCAAGGTAGCATGGGTGTGCAAGAGTATTCTTTGAAATTTACCCTATTGCCTAAGTATGCTCCAACCATGGTGGCGCACTCTAGGGCTAGAATGAATAATTAGTATGTGATGGGAGTGTCCGACTTGGTAGTTGATGAATGTCGTTTGGAAATGCTTATCCCAAGTATGAATATTTCAAGTCTTATGGTTCATGCCGAACAAATTGAAGAGCAAAAGCTTAAGCGAATGAATAAGGAGGTGAAAAGAGCTAGAACCGGTGATGGGAATTCCTCAAATGCTAGGTCTGAAGAACAAGGTCAACAAAGGTTCAAAAGGAGGTCATCTAACCAAGACTCCCCAATGGTCAACAAGGATGGGGTGTATAACCCTAATTCTCAAGGAGGAAATGGAGGTGGTTCTTCCTTTGAAAGATCTACATGTGCCAAGTGTGGGAAGCAACATTTAGGTAAGTGCCTAGCCGGCACGGATGGGTGTTTTGGGTGTGGAAAGAAAGGTCATAAGATGAGAGAATGCCCAACACTCTCAGCAAAAGGAAGAGAGGCCAAACAAGCTTCTTATGATGGTACAGTTCCTATTCCTCCAAATTATGGTCGTTTCTATGCACTCCGGTCTAGAGAGGACAAAGGAGCCCTTCCGGATGAAAGCACCGGTATGTTGATAATTCCTTATAGATGTAAATGTTTTATTAAGGTCCCTATGCTATTTGGTAGATTTTCATGTTCACCTTAGTATGGGTTTACTCCCAAGGGGGAAATGGTATGCTTAGAAGGAAAGGTTATTGAGAGTTCCGATATCCTTATCTCTTTCTTTCTATTCCTATTCAAGTCTAAGACAAAAAGTTCTTTGTGGCTTGTTTCATGTTTTGGAGTCTTTTGTGATTATGTGTTTCCATGGTCTCCTTATATTATGCATGTTCTTGATGAATTCATGTTTAATGAGAAAATGAGTTTTCATGATTTTTATTTCTCATGTTGATGTGCATTTAGTATAAGTTGTCTATATGCTTCATGAGGTGAATTGTTGAACATGCATAAATGTGCTTATGAGAGTAATTGCATAATTGCTTCATGATGTTATGATGAGCATGCTTTGAGTTGGAGAAGGAAATTCCTCCAATGAAATGAGAAATGTTGAAGTTTTCATGCATAATGAGTTTGTAGATGTAGTACCTACTTCCTTGTGTTGCATTGAGCATGTTCGAGATGGAGTTGATGCTTCCTCCTTGTTTTGTGCATTGTTTATGATGTTTCATGCATGATGGGCTGCTAGTCTTGAATCTTTAATTCCATAAAGTGTTTAAAGTGTCATTCGAGGACGAATGTTCCCAAGGGGGAGATAATGTAACACCTCGGAACACTAGTAGGTGAAACTAGAGCCTTACGAGTTAGTTGTTTAGTTTGAGGTGGAGTTTTATGTTGTAAAATGGTTTCCCGAGCTTAGGTTGAGGGGTTTAGGGGTTAAACGTCAAGGTATTACCCCCCAAGGACCAACCAAGGGTCCTTGAGGAGGACCCCAAAGTCTAACCCCAAGGCTGCCCCAAAGAACCAAAACTGCCAAATGTTTGATGACCTACGGATGGGACATACTGGGCGTAGGTCCATCCACGCCCCATGGAACCAAACCATAGGTCAAGACCCCTATATGGAGAGTTGCAGACCCCACCCACGGACCTGCAGGGTGGGGCGTGAGTCCACTCACGGTCCATGGGTCAAGGGGCGTGAGGCACACCTGAGTTTCTGCCTAGGTTCGGCCAAGAGAGGTGTCACGACCCGGGGTAGCCCCCTAGAATTAACACGGCGTACTCGACCCCGAAGGGGTCTCATACAAGCCCTTAGCATAATCATAGTCATAAGATCATAGGAAAATAGTGCGGGATTTAAAACTTTTCGTTACAATCGAAGTCTTTTATAAAAATGATAGAGTCTATACACTATGTCTCAAACCATCTATAACATTTGAATTAAAACTCTTTGAATATAATCTAAGGGACACGCCATTACAAAACTCTAAAACGTAAAAGAAAGACAAAAAGGACATATGGTCAAGCCCTCAAATATAATGAGGACTCACCAATCTTCTTCTTCTTGATCTACTATGAACCTAGCCACGAGGATGGAATCCAATATCTCCAAAGCCTAAACTTATAGAAAATGTAGAAAAACCGAGTTAGCACAAAAAGTACTAAGTATGGAAGCCATGCACAAAAACCTTAAAACATGCAAAAAAAGGGACCTTTCATTTGAAACCATCCTATATGTCATTTTGAACATCATCTTTGAAATAGTTGGAGAATGCATCTCATAAAGCAACTTACATACAAATCATCATAGCATAAGAGATATCATCACATTACAAACATAGTCTCCAACACAAACATAGTACATATCCCAATCTTCACAAGACATAGTTCATACACATAGTCACATACCAAGATCATCTCATCCACAATAGAACTACCACATAAGCAGCCCTAAGCTATACTTGAGCAATGCATAGATAGGATCCCATAATCCTATCTACACTAAGTACCACTCTTAGGCCACCAACAACATACATATCTTACCTTGCCTTATTCATAACCAACATACATAGGTAAGGAGTCATACATGGTCATAACTTATAACAAGTGAATTCAACCTTAACATTCATACATACCTTTCATACATAATTCATAAGTCTTCATAACATAAGAGAACTCACACCCTAACCCCTTCATAAGTCTATTTGTGCAATGTATAAGTGAAGTACCATACCCCCACTCACACTAATTAAAGCTCATTAAGAAGTCATAAGCATAATTCATATTCATATTCATAATTCATAGAAAGCATACATTCAACTCATAATCATCATATCATGCCCACTCTCAAAGCCTACTTGTGCAATGTACAAATGAAGTCACATACCCTCATTCATACTAAGTAGAACCCCTTGAGGAAACATAGAACATGCCCATGTTCTTATCATAATTCATATTCTTATCATTTAGGGAGATTTAGCCTTAACCAACATAGACTATGTGAGCTACATGGGATCCGGTGTTCTACCCCCGACACCAAAAAGAGGTGTCCTACTTGCCTAAGGTAGAACGTACATAATATCTTATAGGTGGATCCACTAGCTATATATCTATGTTGGCATATAGTTATGGGATATGGGGATTGCCACTAGGAACCCGAACTTGCTAAACGTAAAAGGTTTCAATCCCATGAGACAACATACTTAGGGAAGCCGGACTTGCTAAACGTAAAAGCCTCTATCTCATTTTCATATCCATTTTTCACTAAGCATAATTCCCTTTAAAAGTCATATTAAGTCTTTTACTTAAGTTTATGGTCATAAGAGAATGCACTAGGCACTCAAACCAACATATCATAATAGCTCATGGATTCATTAAATGAGAATGTCCTTTCACTTTAGAATCATCAACACATGAGTAAACCTTTCACATCGTATTCGTAGTGTGTTCATAAGGATAGCCTTTCATTCAACACAACAATACTACTATAATCATAACATATCATACATAATCTTAACATAATATACGTAGTCATATCATATCGTACATAGCCATATCATATTGTGCATAGCCATGTGTAGGGGTAGGAAAGAAGGATCTTGCATCAATACCACAATATAGAAAATAATTAACACCTCCACCTTTCAAGTAGATCATCATGGTCGTGTATATTTCATGCATAATAGTATTTAAAAGTGCATATGAGAACTAGCCTTTCGATTGACACCACAAATACCTCATAATCTTATTTATGCATGGAGTGTGTGTATAATTGTCCTTACAATGACACAACAACAACAACATTATCATCATAGACACTACCCTTTCAAAGTGTTCATAAGCATGTACATAATATAACAATCATGCCTAATTCATATATATAATTCATTCAAGGATCATAGACCATGTAAATCAACACATCCAACATTCACTACAATAGACATGGATGTAAACATACTTCAAGTAATTCATTCATTTCATGTATAAGCTCATATACTCATATTGAAGGTCATGTGGGTAGGTCCTTCCACAATAGTGTCATATAAAATTTAACATGCACAATAGCTCTCTTCTTTAAGCCTTATCATTCTTAACTTGTTCATATTAGCTTTTACCCTTAAAGCCTTAGGAGCCATCTTCATAGTACAAGCCTTACTCTCAAGCAATGCCTCACATGATTATCATATATACCTAATTCTTAAGTTAACCTAACCACATGCCTCATTCTTGATCAATTATAGTCATATAGGAACATATAAACTCAATCCCAATAGTACACAAACATGATCATTCATATAAGCCCTAATCAAGTTAATTCAGGTCTACAAGCTTTACTTATAAACAATTCATGTTTAGGTGATCTAATCTAAGGCAATTTATCAAGAAGTTCACCATTCTTAAAAGGTTACATCTAAACCCACAATTTGCCTCTTTCATGACGTAGCCCTAGGCCTTATCAATTCACCTTAGAATCTTAAATAAATCAAATATACAAGTAGAATTATACTTAGATCATGCAATTACATCATAATTAACTCACATCCAATCAATTGGACCAACTTGCAAAACCATCAAATAATGTAAAGAAGAACCATAGCTAAGGTTCGGGGTCTCATGGATTCTTGAAGGTTTTCGAGTTAAAATCATGTAAACTCAATCATACATTCATAAACCAACTTAATTAAACCTTTTAAAGCAACTTTAAATGGAATCCATGGAGTTGAGTTGAAACCCTAGCTAATTGGGTTTTCTAGAATTGAGTCAAAAGCTTTCGAAATGGCTCCTTGGGTGATAGCTTCCCAAGGATGAAGAACTCCCATACCTTAGGTGTAGAATCCTATCAAATTCGTATTGAAAAGCTCCTTCCTTCAACCTTTCCTTGATCTCCTTCTTTGTTCTTCAATGGGGATTCTAGAGAGAGAAATATTTGAGAGGGAGAAGAACTTTTGATTTGATTTGGGTTTTGGAGAATAGAGGAATAAATGAAGGGTTTTAAGGCTTAAACCTATTTATATATATGATATAAGCTAATTAAAAACGACCCCACACCTTAATTAATTAAAATTAAATTACCTAATAACCCTTAATTTGGGCAGCCCCCGTCAGGGACCACGCCCACCTAGACGATCCATCAAGTGGACCACGGCCCGTGGTGGTGTCCGTGGTCCCTTGACCAGTAGCTCCCTCAACTTTTCAAGGCTCCCAAGTGGTGAAGGTAATCCCACGAGCCTTCCCACAGTCCGTGGTCTTCACTACGAGCCGTGAAGTGGCTCGTGAAGGAGAGCCTTCCTTGGGCAGCCTTGTGAGCACACTGTCTTGCCAACCACGGGTGGCACCACGACTCGTGGTGGCCACCACGGGTCGTGAAAACCCTCGTGGTGATGGTAGGCAGTGGCTAGATGGAGTTTTATGCAACCTTGGCCCTCACAATGCCAAGGCAAGACCACGAGACCTCCCACGATCCGTTGTCAAGACCACGACTCATGGTAGAGGTCGTGGTTCCTAGGCAGTGGCTAGGCCTCATTGCCAAGTCTCACACATGACTAAGGGACCTTCACGAGCCCTTTCACAGACCGTGGTCAAGACCACTGGTCGTGAAAGTGGTCGTGGTCCTTGGGCAGTGTTTGGCCAAGCTTGGGGCAGCCTTGGGCTTTGGCTTAGGCTTGCCCCCTTTTGGCTTGGCTCTTGACCTTGAAACCTCAACCAAACC